AGAGCACTCTCATAATAACGTGACACAATCAGAGACTGGATATATCCCCCCCCTCTCTCTGGTCGCTACAATGAGGAAAATAAATGACGGGCCAAAAGTGTTATTTACAAGTATTAAGCAGAGGACACCAAACCAACTGAGACCTGTCTGTCTGCTGCATCTACGCACACACTGTACACACACACACACACACACACACACACACACACACACACACACACACACACACACACACACACACACACACACACACACACACACACACACACACACACAATCAGGCTAAAGCCGTTGTGTATTTTATTATGTGAAGATCTAAATGGTTTTAGAAAAATATGGACTCTTTGTTTGTAGACATCTACTAAACTAAAGCAAATAAAGAGAGTAGGCCTGTTATACTGAGTGATATATATTATACACACTGCTCTGCTTTCTGCACAGACCTCACAGCTGTTCTCTCTGGAAACATCGCGTCGCGATGAGAGCAGTTAATAAAATAATATCCAGGGGATGCATGCAGAGCTGTGATTGGCTGAGATAAGTCCGGCTGTGTGTAACGGCTCTTTGAAACATCTCTGTTCCCGGAAATGCGTCCGGAGAAGCCATCAGTGTCTCCTCGGTTAGAGCCTCCTCGATGCTCCATGTTCATTTAGAGAAATGAGATGTCCTTCAACATGGCGCGCTGAAATCCATTTCCGGGTCACTACCGGAGGACCGAGGAGCCGAGGAGGGGGAATTGATGAAATGAGAAAGGGACATTGATTCAGCCCTTAAAGGAAATCTTTTTCTTTTTTTGTTTATTCCCATCAACATTGGATGTGCTCTTTCAGATTGGAAGAAAGGATCACAGTTTACCCGGCAGACGTGGTCCTCTTTGAGGGGATTCTCGTCTTCTACCCACAGAAAGTGCGTGATATGTTTCACATGAAGCTTTTTGTGGACACCGATTCAGACGTCAGACTATCTCGCAGAGGTATTAAAGTCTTCCTCATACATTATTCCAGATGTGGGCCACCACAGTATATCCATGATGAAAAGATTACCTGATTTTCCTACAGTTTTGCGAGACATGACCAGAGGGAGGGATCTGGAACAGATTCTCACGCAGTACACAACATTTGTCAAGCCTGCCTTTGAAGAGTTTTGTTTGCCTGTAAGTATGTTTACTGCTTAACAACAAATAAGGGCCATTTTAAGTGCATAACAATAATACAGGGCTGGGTGAGGGGGAGTCTAAGAAACCACATTACTCACTTTAAAAAGTTGGCAAAAATATATCACACCAATTTCTTTGTTGTCAATTTCTGATTTGTTTCTGGCACATTTATCGCTTTAATCTCAGAATATCTAATATCTCATTTCAGTAATGTTATCCCCCTTCCCTGGCTCTTCAATTACTTTTTTTAACCTACAATAACCCTCCTCCATTTGTTTTTCTCTCAGACAAAGAAGTATGCAGATGTCATCATTCCAAGGGGCGTTGACAATATGGGTAAGTGTTTTTTTTCTGTAATTAAAATAATGTTCTGCCAGTTTCTATGGAATTAATGCTTGACAAATCCGTTCCTCTTCCATCAGTGGCCATCAATCTCATCGTGCAGCACATCCAAGACATCCTGAGCGGTGAGCTCTGCAAATGGCAGCGAGCCTCCGCCAGCGGCCACACGCGGGGCTTCAAAAGAGCCATCTCTGAGCCGGGGGACCTGCAGAATGGAGCCACCAACTCTGCAGGGAAGAGGGTCCTGCTGGAGCCCAGCTGCCGGCCGCACTGAGCCTTCACTGGGGCTCTGGAGGGCAGATGTTTCCAGACTGTGGACATGAGCTCGAGACAGGATTGTTGCTACTGATTTGTGCACGAAGGGTCACGCCACCCTCCCTCTCTCTCTGCAGAGGTTTTAAAAAGTAAAAAAATGTACCCACAATCCCACGGTGCAAGCATACAATGCTGCGACCACTCCATCATTTCACTGTAATTATTGCTGCATAACCAACATGCTTCTAGATGATGCTTTTCACATGTAACGGTCTTCCATGATAATGTTTTTTAGTGTTGGTCAGAGGATCAGTTACGGAGAGGGAGGGGAGGAGCTGCAACTAAAACATATTTTAAATATTGATTTATCTGCAGATTCTTTTATATATTTAATCTATAAAATGTCTGAAAATATTGAAACATTTCCATTTGAAAATCCAAGGTTATATCTTTAAATGTCTTCTTTTGTCAGTTTAAAACCCAAAGATATTATATTATATATATACACTTTGATACAGACAAAAGTAGGGCATATTATTGTAACAAATATCAAAAAAGGTTGCTGATTATTTTTCTGTCATTGGATTAGTCCTCTAAAAGTTGCAGCTCCAGTGAAAAGAGTTTTTAAATGTTTAATTTCTGTTATGCTTTTGCACTTTGATGTTTATATTTATATCTGCTTTTTTGTTGCTTAAATTCAGAGTATATTTAAATGATATTCACACTAACCTGTTATCCTGCTGTTTCCCTATCTGTTTTAACTTATTTAAATCAAATCATAGTAGCGTTAAACTGAGTGCTTCCTTTCATTACTTACAGTTGAATACAAGCCTTAATTTTTTTAAGTTCATTTTGCACTGACCACTCTGTACAACAATAAATTGAAAAGTGTAAGTCCTTTTTGAGTTTGAAACCAGGAAGTGATGGTTCTGACCCGCACGCTGTGTATAGAAACAAAGCTGTTTGTTTTATTGGAGTTTGAGAGCACAGTGTGATGTGTTGGGTTTTCGACCATTATCCCAAAAAAGGAATCCAAATGATTTACTACAGCATGTTTTTGAATGACAAACAAACAAGTCACGAGGACTTCAGTCGTACACGAACACTTTCACACACCAACGTGACCGGGACATGATCGTGACTGCCGGATGGTTCTCTACACGTGAGCACGGCACACCATGATTCAGTATGACATTACATAGATCACAGCATCTTTAGTAATTTGTACTTTTTTGTGGTTTTTGCTTAGCTTTTTTTGAGTGCACATACGTATGGCACTTTGGGAGAAGCTAAGCTCTTCTCATAAGCATAAACATCCTTTTTAAGAACAAAAGGAGCACTGTATATAATACATATCATAACCATACATGATTCTTACACAAAATGTTTCCAAAAACTCCGGTTCCACTCTGTGATGGTCATCCTCTCTGAGTTTAGATCCCCCAGCAGACTGTCCCAGTTCTCTGTTTTCAGGGGAAACTCATAAGTCAATGCAGAGGATGACCGACAAATGGCACATACATAAAAGGAAGAGGAAGTTGAATCTCGGGAGAGAAATGGACAGCTCATTCTCACGAAGACAGAGAGCCCAGGGAGCAGACTTTGGTTATGTCCGTCTCCCTGTCCGCTCTGTGTGACCCCTCCTCGGCTTCCTCTCTACAGAGTCACAGTAATCCCAATGTATAATCTCCCGAGCAGCAGCTCTCTGTAAACCTCCGCCACGCTTCTGTAGTTTGTTCTGCGTCCCCCTGCAGCGAGTCTCCCATTAGCTTCCATTCGTCTCTGTCTCTCAGTCTGTAGTAAAGTGGAGTTAGTGTTATGAAGCACAGTTGGAGGTCAGTTTGGCCGGCCCCCGGGGGCCCTAGGTCTTCTCCTCACGCTCCGTCTTGCGCCTGGTGATGTTCCTGGGTTTGATCTTCTGCGACAGCTCCCACAGCGCCTCCTCCGCCAGGTGGTCGCTGAAGTCGTTGAAGAAGCACACGATGTCTTCGTTGCGCTTCAGATCATAATGCCTGAGATGAGAGGAGGTTTGATTAATGAGAAAACAAACAGCTCGTGTGGAGATGGCAGCGATGCTTTAGATTCAAATGTAATGCAAAACAAATTGTGTTTCCTGCCAGTGGCAAACAAACGATGGCAGTTATTTCTGTGAGTGATGTTTGGAAAGCTTTCAAATGATCCATCACAAGATGATGTGCATCTTTTCATGGTGCTGTGAATGTATCCCCACGGACTTACACTTGCTGGAAGCGCCGCATGCTGTCCAGGATGTTGAACTGCTGCCAGCGTTTGGAGAAGTTCACCTTCCCCTCGATGAAGTCTGGGTTCCCCAGGTGGACGAAGGTCAGGTCCTGCAGGATGAGACCCCTGGGAGAGCGAAGAGGGGGGGTAAACGTGTGGTTCTCGGCTAAAAACATTTGTCTGAGTTTATGGTTGGTTCACTCACAGGTAGGGGATGCAGGGGGGCTCCACCTCAGAGAGAGCAGCTCGGTACGCTCTGAAGGACGACGAGCTGTCAATCAACGTGCAGTACTCCTCCAATCCCTGAGAGGAGAGGGAGCAAGATTATTATGATCCTTTGCTGTAACTTGAGCAGGTGCATCTCAATACATTAGAATATCGTGGAAAAGTTCATTTATTTCATTAATTCAATTCAAAAAGTCAAACTCATATTATATGGATTCATTACACATAAAGTGAAATATTTCAAGGCTTTATTTGTTATAATCTTGGTGATTACATCTTACAGCTAATGAAAACCCCAAAATCAGTATCTCAGAAAATTTGAATATTGTGAAAAAGTTCAATGTTGTGGACTCACGCTGTCACACTCTAATCAGGTAATGAACTCAAAACACCTGCAAAGGTTTCCTGAGCCTTGAAATGCTCTCTCAATCTGGTTCAGTAGGCTTCACAATCATGGGGAAGACTGCTGACTTGACAGTTGCACAGAAGACAGTCATTGACACAAGGACATAAGCCTCAAAAGGTCATTGCTAAAGAAGCTGGCTGTTCACAGAGTGCTGTATCCAAGCATATTCATAGAGAGTTGAGTGGAAGGAAAAAGTGTGGGAGGAAAAGGTGCACAGCAACACGGATAACCGCAGCCTTGAGAGGATTGTCAAGCAAAGGCCACTCAAACATTTGGGGGATCTTCACAAGGAGTGGACTGAGGCTGGAGTTAGTGCATCAAGAGCCACCACGCACAGACGTATCCAGGACATGGGCTACAACTGAGCCTTCCTCGTGTCAAGCCACTCCTGAACCAGAGACAACGTCAGCAGCGTCTTACCTGGGCTAAGGAGAAAAAGAGATGGTCTGTAGCTCAGTGGTTCAAAACCCTATTTTCAGATGGAAGTACATTTTGCATTTCATTTGGAAATCAAGGTCCCCGAGTCTGGAGTGGAGAGGCACAGAATCCAAGTTGCTTGAAGTCCAGTGTGATGTCTCCACAGTCAGTGATGGTTTGGGGAGTCATGTCATCAGCTGCTGTTGGTCCACTGGGTTCTCTCAAGTCCAAAGTCAACGTAGCCGTCTACCAGGACATTTCAGAGCACTTCATGCTTCCTTCTTCTCACAAGCTTTATGGAGATGCTGATTTCATTTTCCAGCCAGACTTGGCACCTGCCCACACTGCCAACAGTACTAAGACCTGGTTTAGTGACCATGGAGATACTGTGCTTGATTGGCCTGACCTGAACCCTATAGAGAATCTATGGAGTATTGTCAAGAGGAAGATGAGAGACACGAGAGCCAACAACGCAGACGAGCTGAAGGCCGCTATCGAAGCACCCTGGGCTTCCATCACACCTCAGCAGAGCCACAGGCTGATCTCCTCCATGCCACGCCGCATTGATGCAGTCATTCATGCAAAAGGAGGCACGATCAAGTACTGAGTGCATACACATACTTTTCAGAAGGCCGACATTTCTGTATTCAAAATCCTTTTTTTTTATTGGTCTTATTCTAATTTTCTGAGATACAGATTTTTGGGTTTTCATTAGCTGTAAGCCGTAATCACCAAGATTAAAACCAATAAAGGCTTGAAATATTTCACTGTGTGTAATGAATCCATAGCATATATGAGTTTCACTTTTTGAATTGAATTAATGAAATAAATGAACTTTTTCATGATATTCTAAAGTATTGAGATGCACCTGTACATGCACACATTCTGAGACCTACAACACTGATATCTATGGAATGAAAAAGTTAGAAAAGGGCAACGAATAATTGGTTCAAATAGTAAGCTCTGAATTAGCACAAAAACAGTAGTTAGCTAAAAGTAGCAGATTAACAGTTGAAATACTAAGCTAATATAAATAGAAAAACTGTTGAAATAATTAACTAAAAGTAAAAGGATATAAGTGACATTAATTAGCAGCAGGAATTGTTGAAAAAGTTAGCTCAAACTAATGAATAACACATTTGAATTGCTAACAAATTCAAATGAATAATGGATCAAGTGAAGGGGATGTAGTGAATGGGACCCCCCCCCCCCNCCATTAAAGCGTCACGGTGCTCTCACCTCGGAGGTCTGCTTCTGCCACTCCAGCCTCCGGATGGGCGCCGAGTCCAGGGCGGACAGGATTGCCAGGTAAGAGTTGAAATTATTCAACTTCCGTAAGTGCTGTAAAAAGAGATTTGTGGAAATATTATTGCACCAAACATCACAGGTGTCTGTCTACAGGACAAGTAGAGATATTAAAGTCCAAAATGACTCACCTTCATGATCTTAATGAACTTGAGAAGCAGCTTCTCTCTGTCCTGGGCTTTCTCCTGCTGAATGATCAGAGAGCGGACCCTGCAGGAGGAGGAGAACAGAGGGGGTCAACAGGTGCTCTGAGAGGGAATCCAGCAATTCATTAGTGTTTGTTAGATAAAACCGCTTTGGTTTTACCACAATGTGTCTTACAAATAAGACAATATCAAGAAAGTACAACAGCATAGGAAAGGCTTGGAATGTAATCATATGCAAATAAGAATGATACAGGACTACCACAAAGTAATATGTGAATATTCAGAATCACAAGACAAAGCAGGAGGGCCTGTACGATTGCCTTCCCATTCAAGCATTAAACTGTGCTTTGTACAAATGTACAGTTGTACATACGTTTTACACGCTACTAGTACTTCATATAATTTACTCAAAAGCAGTCCAAAGTTTAGGTTTGATGGTACAACACTAAAAGACTCTACCCTGCATGTAGGACGCTGACAGACAAACATCAGCGTACTTCAATCTGAATCCTGGATTTTCAGCTCATTGGTATAGGCCCAAATGATCAGAGGCCAGTGGAGGATTGTGACACGTTCCCATTGAAGGACACACTCACCAATAGCTCATGTTGTTAAAGTGCTCTGTGAACTGCGTCAGGTTCGGACTCTTCTCCTCGTTCTGCTCCTTCGCCCAGAGCAGCACCTCTGGAATCTGGAGAAGAACAGATGGAGCTCAAAACCCAATCAATGTCAACAAACACAGGGAGCATTGATTCAAAGTAAACAGGAGTATGAATTCAAAGTAAACACCTCAAGTACCTCGATCTTATAGAAGAGCTCAGCATCAAGGAGAGTGAGCTGGTCAGCGATTTCGTGACTGCGGAAGTCATGGAGCGTCCCTGGCCTGTTAGGACAAAAAACTATGAGTTAATAGCTTTTCCTTCAAGTTTTACAAATACATGTACTCTCTACACATCACGTTTAGCAGGATTATCAAAGACCCATCACCCCAGCAACCACCTGTTCTGCCTGCTGAACGCCTGAGCTCTGTTCAGTGCCTTTATGACCCAAAGCCTTCCTCTGTCCGCATCTTACCATTTATTTATCTTAATAGTTATGACTCAAATAAAAAGTATATATATATATATTTTTTTAATCTTTTATTTCACATTCTGTTCTTGTATATCGTATTATTTGTACATGTATATTGACTCCTGCATTTACTTGGTCACTTACAACATTTAGCTTATGGTATTGATTTATTTTTCACTTCATCTGCATAACTTGCACATTGGTCTCACAAAATAATCTGCACTATTCTATTCTGCTCTGTTTCTTCTTGCACTATTTATATTTATTTTTAAATTAGTTTTTTTAGTTCTATGTCCTATATATATTATGTTGCACTGTTGAAGGAACCTTTGACCCTGCCCCCCCCCCGTACCTTGCAGAGACCCCCCGGGCAGCGAGCGGTTTGAGGGAGTTGGTGTAGCGCAGCAGCTTCCTCTGCTCCACTTTATCCAGGATGTTCTTCCGGAGGACCCGCGCGAGGCTGAGCTCTCCGTTACAGACAAGCGTGAACACCAGGTCCATCAGCTGCTTCAGGATGTCCTCTGTCAGCTCCACCAGGCTGCAGGAGGAGGAGAGAGGGGGGCATGGTCAACAGAGGAGGAGGGGGTGGGGAGGTCATGGGTTCATTACGGAACTGAAACTATGATATGAACTGATTTATTCCAGAAAATAAACAGAAGATGAATGAATGAATTCACATCATTTGAAAGCTGCTTTCTTGGTCCATAAAATGTAAATTGTTCTGTCAGAACAAAACCCAAAGATATCAACTTAGATACGTTATAAAACTAAGAATGTACTGAAAACCGTATTTCCTGCAAGGTCTGCATAAATAATACATTCCCCATCAAAATATTTGGCAAATAGTTGTTATATAATATATATATATATATATATCATTGTTGCAACTCTAGTAGTCAAACATTACATTTATTTAAAACCTTGCTTACACGTAAAAAAGCGTCATATTGCCATACGCAGTACTTTATATTTCTCTATTGTTACACATGTATGTATTTGTTATTTCCTCTAACAGCCTACGTTTCCTCTCCATATTCTTGTAAACACAGCTCCCTGAGGAGATGTCAGGCAGACGCTAGAGGAGTCTGAAGACCCGGACCACCAGACTCTGCAACAGCTTTTACCCACAGGCCATGAGACCCCCCCTCACACTATCTGAGTCCTGACCATCAGCACCAACACTGGCTGTACCATACCCATCATATTCATACTGTTATACCCATCTATTCTTATTCCTATGCATATTTATATACCATACTCTAATCTGCTATTTCTATCCTATGTTAAGTCACATCATGCACTTTTATTCTGAGACAGGAATTTTAAAATGTATGTCAGCTTATATTTTTAAATGCTCATTTCTGCTCGTTTTGATCTTATATGTGTGTTTGCATGTGTAGTTTCTTAATATTTCATTGTGGAGAGCTGAGCGTAAGAATGTCATTGTTATACTGTACATATGACAGGAGACATATCTCTACAACACAACACACTCTGGAAGTACTGTCTCAGTCCACTCACCACAGCTCGTCCACCACCCTCACCAGCACGAAGAAGGTGTTTTTGCTGACTCTCTTCTTGAAGGTGTCGGGGCTGTGGCAGAACCTGGTGTATGTGCTCAGTGGTCAAGGCGAAGCACACACCAGTTTATACGGAATACAAGGTACAATAACATGTTTATCTTAAAGGTTTCAAAGGTTTTGAACATTTATGTGAGAACACAATGATATGTGATATTTTTCTCTTCTAAAATACCATCCCAACATGAACTCTTGATGTTGTGACCTTTACTGTCCTTAAATGCCCTTTAATGCAAATCTATATCCATTTATTTGATCCTATTTTCAGTTAAATTCTCAATTTGTTTATTTTGTTATTATTAATTAATTATTTTTAAATTGTACATTTTAACTTAGATTTGAGATGTCCATTTATTGCCATTCCCTTTTTTATTTGCATGTTCGTATTATTAGATTTGTATTATAGTTGATCTTAAACTAATGATTTGTATTTCACATATTTGAATACTATCCCTCTACCTTTTCCTTCCTAAAGGCGTATGGTTGCACTGCAGGTCTCCATCTATGAACACGTGTAACTAAAGAGCTGAAACAGAAAACGGATCTTTTCTTGGTAAATAAGGATTTAAAGACAAAGGCAGTAAAACCAGCGTTCTGCCAGCGGCAACTAAACAGCCATTCAGCCTGGAGCGACATGCGGACTGATTCAAAAAGGATATCTGTAGTGTAGCTTCTTAATGAGGTCCTCTGGGGTTATAAAAGTCCTATACGTAGTCAGAAAGGCTTCACAGTACAAAACAAGATCTGTCAAGAAACAAAAGAGACATTCCAGATGAAGAGCTCTGAAAACACATCATCAAATGTGAAGAACTGACACATTGCAAACAACTGAAGGCTATTTCAAATGCTACACATACGAGGAGATTAGAAAAGTAATAAGACGTCATTCACACTGCAGATTTAGTCTCTGTGAATGCACGTCATTCTGTCTTCGAATATAAAATGCGTGCCTGTCAAAGCTGTGCACAGTCACACACTGAGCTGTACCTTTGCGGTCTGTTTCTGTAGCGTGCACTAATAGAATATCTCCCGATCCAGCACGGACGTCAGGCCCGTCGTCATTCTGGGGGAATCAAGCAGAGCAAGCACGAAGAATTAGAGGAAAAGAATAACAGGAGAGAAGACCATTGGTTAGATGTGAGGAAGGGGTGATGCAGTCTAGCCCAAAACGTAGCTTGCATCTTTCCTTCTTCTGCCTGTTTGTATGTCTTGCTCCCCCCCCCCCACCTCCTCCTGTCCTGCAGCAGCTCCTCTGATGACGAAGACAAAGTCAGACTTGTGTGTAATGAAAGCCCGAGCCCTGCAATCTGTCTCCAAGGCTATGAATCTTCCTCCTCCTCCTCCTCCTCATTTCTGATCCCTTCCAATCTGCTTTTTTGTAAATCAGTGGCGTCACATTGCCCCTAACCTTGCAGAGAGGAGCCTTTTCACACATCTGTCTGTCAGACTGCAGCACACGGGACAAAGGAGGAGGAGGAGGAGGAGAAGAAGGAGGAGGAGGAAGAGGAGAGGAGGGAGGTCTGTTCATTTAAGCCGTGCAGTTTCAGACGCTGACCTCCAGAGGGCAGCATGGCTCTCAGGGTCTGATTTCACATCTGACTGACTCTCAGTGACCTTTAGCCAGCCGGACTAACGGGATAAAATGTGCTTTGTGTGCTGCTGCTGCTGCACATTCTATAAACAGCTCACAGGAGGGTATTCTTACCACTTGTTTTAGTGTTATCCTGCTCATGATCTCTTTGTGGTCGATGAGGGAGAGCTCGTCCACGTCCTCCTCATCGCTGCCAGCCGACTCTGGTGACTTCTGTCTCCTACACACACACACACACACACACACACACACACACACACACACACACACACACACACACCTTTTTGAGATAACAAATATAGAGCTGTCCCAAGCCATACTGCATACGGGAGCTGAAACGTTGATTCATTTGACAAGTCATTGTGTTTATTCTGCTTCTTTAATATAAGGAATTTATGTGCTTTTCCATTGTATATGATCGTAAATTAAAAATCTTTGGGATTTGGACTGTGTCTGATTTAATAGTCTATCATCAGTAAATACAAGTTTGAACTATGTTTTTGGTTTATAGTTGTAGCTCTACAAACTAGTTATAACCAACTTTTAAGTTAAAGGGACAACATGTAGTATACTCAATATGGTCTGTCTGGTTCAATATTCTCCCACAATGCAAAGCTAGTCGACAGGGAGTAAAGAAGCCGGAGACTGGAAAGAAAAAAAAAGTATGCATGGCTACATCTGTGATTCAGCTTCAGGAACAAAAGTTATAAAAACATATATATTTTGTATGCTTGTTAGGTGAAAGTCAAACTGAATGCATTTATTTGTTCATAAATGTTTCCTCTATAAATCACTTCAAACAATGAAACAAATCCTTTGGAAAAACTAATTATAAAAAACATATATAAATATTCATTGGTATACATTCACAAAATGTTCAACTGAAACATTTTGAATCTAAGTTGGATTTTGCTGCAGTTTGATTGACATCTGACAGAACACGGATTGCATCATTTCTAGTATATTGATTTATTTTACGCCAACTTCAAAATACTATATTAATATAGCACCTACTGTCCAGAGGGAGTAGCATTTAGTGTACATCATTTCTAAGGTGTAAACATTACATCTCTTACCTCTCCTTGTCCAGAGCCTCTTTGCTATTGGTGGAGGGGATCTGAGGGGAGGGATCCTGGAGCACATCGTCAGCTGTGATTGATTCCTGATTATGGAGGAACAGCAATAATCAACACGTGTATTCTAGGTTACACTGAACAGGATTAATGAATGGTCCCATGCAGTGAGAGGGCTGGATATAGATTATGAACCACTAGTGCATGCACCACTTTTGGTGGAAGGAAGATGAATGGACAAATGTCAGTACTACTACTTGGTTGTTTTATGTTGATGAGCACAATGCAGCTTTTTCTCAATACGAGCATGAGACCCAAAAGATGAGACCCAAAACACAAAGACGCCAAGAGGGTAGAACTCATACACACTGAATCTGTACCAAATAAAACTAAAAATACAATCACACACCCATACATCGTCTCTTCTGCCCTCACTTACATTCCCAGCACACCTAAAACACCCCCTGACAGTTCACCCTGGCCATGGGAATACAACCATGCACGCTGTAAAACAAATGCACTTAAGCAGTTATGGGGGAATGTTATTGGAAAATTGAAAACCGGTGAACCCTAGAGAATCCGAATTTAGAGCGTGTTAGATCGGAACAAGGTTAAATACTTGTTACAATGGAAGTGCAGCCAGAGAGAGCGACAGCCAATCGCCGGACACACACACACACACACACACACACACACACACACACACACACACACACACACACACACACACACACACACACCTGAGCGACCCTGCCCCCCCGAGAACACACAGGTCAACCTCCCCCGGACCACCAGAACCACACCGAGTGGAGAAATGAAGGTGGAGGGATGGGGGGGGACTCACCGTGGGTGTGTTCAAAGAAGCTTGGCCAATCAGGTAGGAGTTAGAAACGGACATGCTGAGGCCCAGCCCAGAGCCCGCCTCCTCCATCGCCGCCACAGACGGCTGGAGGTGGCAGGAGAGAGAAGAGGAGGAGGAGGAAGAGGGGGAGGAAGAGTGGGAGGCCTGAGAAGTGAAACAAAGAGGAAGAAAGAAGAAAAGGTAGAAAAGACAGTAAGTCAGAGAAATAGGGGGTTAAGAGGAGAGAGAGGGTGTTAAAGAAAGAAAGAAAGAAAGAGAAGAGGACAGTTGATTACTCTAGGAAGCAAGTGTGAATTAGAGCAGGTTTAATCAAAGCTCAGCAGTAAAGTGGTGAAAGCTGAAGAGGACTCACACACTGCTGATGAAGTGCTACTAGGGCTATACAATTCATCAAAAATGAATAGAAAGGTCATTGAAATCGCAATGTCAAAAATTGTCCCGACCTACAAACGGAATTTAAAGAATCAAAAATGCCCATTCTCTCTAATAACACAAATCATATCGCAATTCTAATATTGGAAACAATTATTGCAATAAGTGATTTTTTTCCAAATGGTGCAGGCCTACTATGTTCAAGTTCTTTCTAAAGGGCCTTCATTACTAGAAGGACATATAACATGCACAGATTTCACACAATTATGTCCAATTCTTGAAATATCCCGAGCTTTAAAGGCTTTCCAGAAACCAGGCCAACAGGCTCTGAGCAGGGCCAATATGATCCCTCTCCACCCAGCCCCTTATCCACACAGCAGCTGAAATGACTTCTTTTTTTTTTTTAAGCAAAGCCATGTAAAGTCGCCAAAGCATGTAAGCCTGGAACATGGGTTTATGGAGGAGGCAAACCGGCTTATTCCACTATGCCACAAGCTCATCAAGTCCAAAACATCAGGCTAGATTAGGCCCTGCTGCTGCAGTACGCTCGCACAAAAGAATGATCAAAAGTAAAAGCGGGGTACAGAGGAGCAAACACACAGTTGTGGTGGCAGAGAGAGGACAAAGCACAGAGAAAGACTGAGGTGGCCTGCCGAGTCTCTTTTCTACTGGACATGCAGCTCCACCCTGGAGAAGAGCTCATCTGTTCACTGTCCACAGCAGCTTCAGGACACCACACATCCATTTGTCACCCTCACATGTGTACGGCAGGCATTAGTGAGAGAATAGGGAAGGGTGTTTCTGTGTGATGTCTCATGTGACACACTACAGGTCATCTACCCAACATGCAATGCTTAGTGTTGTTGTGTTCTGTCCCTGTATGCACCATTTACACAAAAGCAAACTCCTGGTATGTGTATACTATAAACCTGATTCTGATTCTCATGCCGCAACTCTTAAAAATGGTTTTGCTTATGTAAAGCTAATGTCCTTGCAGGATTCTCGCGGTTCTGAATTAATATCCTCACACTCTCCTTGTAAGTCTTCTCGGATGATAGCTCTAACGTAATTGAATACAGTTTATAAGAAATGAATCTAAGATTTGGTCTACATTTAAGGACATTTTAATTACAGCGTTGCTATCGCAATCAAAATGATGTAAATCCAGTTATTCATTTCAACCCACTTGCAAACATCACTTTATTAAGGTAACTCTATTAGTTTACTATAGCTTATTTGATGCTGTTGCACCAGCTCTTGAAATGCTTTTACGTTTTAGAAGCTAATGTACGTGGCTCTACGGCGGGGCTCAGTAAAGGTCATTTCTGATATATTTCAACCTAACATATGTGACCATAGTGGTTTTATGGATTGTTGCCAACGTAGCTATTAAAGGCGACTACTAAAAATCTTGTTTTTTAAGGAAGTTGCTGGAGGCTCACACAGCTTGCCCTGGTACATTGTTTACAGCTAAGAAGGGGAGTGCAACATTAGCATGACCCATAGAAAAACAAAAGTCACATGAGCAACATGCAAGGTTTAAATACACCTGTATTTTAATAAAGGTTTTATTACGCTTCATTTAGTACGTTTTTATTATTAAGTATTTACTATTTATAATGCAAAATTTTGCCCATTACTTGCAAAAAACTACCACTTCTGAAAACTGTAAAGCTCTTATGTTGATTGAGATGTTTTGAAAATATAATTTTTATAGTCTTTTTGTTCATTTATATTGTTATCTTATTCTATTCCCAATTTGTTTCATGATTTCTGCTTTTATTTTCTTGGCTTTCTTTATGCTATGCACCTTCAAATACAACAGAAGATTCTTTGTATTTTAAAAAAACGATTTAGGGGCTCCATTACATTGAGTATGGGGGACTACATAAGTAAGTTACACAACATCTTTAAGCGTAATCTATCAATATTTTAATCCTGAAAGACTCAGCTAACCTCAGTGTTAATCTATGATTGGTACACTTTTACCAGCTGTATACCAGAAGAGCACTGAGAAAAAAAATGATGAAACAAACACCAAATAATAAATAACAATAAGCTAAATATATCTATGCTTGGTAAAAATTGTGAACTCATGGCATCACTTAGCTGTAAAAATAATATTTATTTTGTACCATAAATGTTTAATTGTCACTCAACTCATATGAACATGGTGCGTCCCCCCTCCCTCCCCCTCTGACACAGTTCTCTCAATTAACCCAGACAGCGACCCACATTAAGATATGTGGACTGGATCTGATGAAGCTGATAAAGGCCGCCGTTATCTCCCGCTAACAACCACACACCTCCGAGTACATACACATGTCTGCTTTGGTTACAGAACAGGGGGAAGTCAGAGAGAGTGCCGAGAGGGGGGAGGCTGAAAAGGTGAGAGAGATAACAAGATAGCAGGAGGCTCGAGAGAAAATGTATGCGGATTACCACGGGAATGTACTTCAGCCTCAGAAAGCAATCTGCATTCTGCCCCTCTCTCTGAGCCAGAATACAGCAGGAAGCACAGAGCTGTCACTGCAGAGGGTGTTCACCTGGTGTTCACCTGGTGCACGAACAGTGTCCCACAACACATGATTCTATCAAATCATTTAAATGAATCAAGTTTTGGTCTATCATTTTGATAAAGACTAACTGAAATATTGAAGAAAACTTTATTTGCAGCAACAATGAAAGTAAACTATTTGTATCTATTCATTTATTTCAACTCACTGGCGAAATTCTCATTCAAGGTAACTGTTAGTCAAAAGCAAAAACCTCGTATGTGTAAACCTACTTGGTAATAAACCTGATTCTGAATCTTAAGCAGCAGTTCTTAAAAACTGTTTTGATCATTTAAAGCTAATGAACTTGAAGGAGTGTTGCTGTTGTGAATGAATATCCTCACGCTCTTATTGCAACTCCTTTTGGATGATAATTGTAACGCAATTTAATACAGTTTTTAAGAAATGGCACAAAATGGAAGTGTCTGGTTTTGGTGCCTCAGAAGGATTACTATCACCACTCTTGCACCATGGATGGTTTCTTACCAGCTGCCTCTGTTTGGGCGGCAGAGCGGGGGGCAGCACGGGCTCGTGCACCGAGTCGGTGCTGCTGAAGGAGTCGTTGAAGCAGTACACCTCCTGGAAGCGCTTGTTGCGCTGCTCGTAGATGCTCTCGCTCTGCGGCATCTGGTAGAACATGGAGGGCTGCGGCTCCGAGTAGTCCTCCACAAACTGCATGTACTGGAGGACTGGGGGGGCAAAGATTGGTCAACATTTATCATTTATTTCAATCAACAAAGTAATGAATTGACTTCTTTCATCAGAACATTTTGCTTTCTAAATATATGTATATATTCCATTTTGGTATTCAAGTTAAATACAGTTTATAAAACGGACAAGTCAAATCAAGAAATCTGATTGGTTCTTAGCCGTGATATACTGAGCGTATACCACGGGTAGAATTGTAAGTTACTTTTCACAACAAGTCAGTATCCCTCCGCGTCTGAGAAAAACAGTATACCGTTGGGCTGAAAAGCAAACTGCCAGCAGTTTGCTTTTCATACTGGAACAAGAAAGCAGCGGAGAAGTAACGGGGCGAGCAATCCAGACATAGACATCAGACGGCAAAAAATATTCAGTGTGCAGTTCCTTTGGCATTAGGGCAGGGATATCTAGATACTTTCCAAGGTTTGACATAATGAATTGTGCTACTTTTAAAGTAAACAGCAGTGTTTTCAAATCTGTAATCAAAGAGGTCCGCAAAAACACTATCGACCAATGAAATTGCTTGATTTGACTTGTCAGTTTTTTAAATATATTTACATTTCTTCCGTTACGAAACAAACTTACAAAGCATAACATGGAAACATTTAAGATTAACTTCGACCTCCGGGGGGGTCTTACTATAGTATGGAGGAGTGGATTGAGCAGTGCCTATCTCCAGAAAAAAAAGCACCTAAACGACGACATGCAGAGCTACGTGAAGAGCAGGTAGACCAACTGGAAAAGTAGCACCATTCAAAAGCTTTCTGATGCGGGTCTTGAAACAAAGCAGAGAAATTATGACCGTTAGTGACCACAGGTGCGAAAGCTCTCTCCAGAGCTACTGGAAGCCCAATCTCGGGGACCGGAGAAAGTGGAGCAATATTCTCGCCACGCCAAGCAACAGCCTCGAACAACCTCAACCTATACAAGTCACAACGTAAGCCATGCTACTGATGCTGGACAGTTTTTCAGTGGCTGCACAATAAACAGCAACATACACATTAATGTAAATAAACAGCCAAATCATGGATCAACGCTCTCTGTCTAATATGTTCGCTTGCTGTTAGTGTTGTTGCATAGCAACCACCTTGCACTATGTTTTGTGCAGAAGGCAACGGAGGGACTATTTTATTTTGAACATCATTATTTACTAATAAAAACTATTAAAATTAGAGTGTGTATTTTTCTTTCATATTGCCACACTTGGTAACCGTTTTATAAAATCAATAGCTCACTTCAGGCCGTGATATATGCTCATTATATCACAGCTAAGGGGATTTTCGACCCACCGTTTTGCGTCGGGCCGAACCACGCCCCTTAGCTGTGTTATAATGAGCATATACCACGGCCTGTCGTGAGCTATTGCTTAAATGTACCTTCTAATTATTTGACTTACAAGTTACATATGTAAAAGAAAACACGTAAAAAAAAATCGAAGTGACAAAGGCTACGATATCTCAACCTTTTGTCCCTATATGGGTCAAGCTACGAAAACACAAAATCCTAAATTTCCCATAATGCCACTCCAATTAACACCTATCTATTTTAAATGACCACTTTGGACAAAAAATCTCATTAAAAGAATATCTAATTTTTTTTTGGTCGTTTTTTTGGTCATCCTTTACAAATGTTATGGTCTGCCTCCGAAAAGAGAATAAACTATCTATGTATTTGTAAAAAGTGTGTTTATGACTAGTAAACAAGGACATTAAGCTATTCTTAGTTTGGAGGGAGAGAGAAACTTGAATTCAGAAGTTTATAGTGAATATTAAACTTCTAACAGCTAAGAGAGTTTGGGGAACTCAGTGGTTAAATGAAGCATATGGCCCGCCCTAATGTAGTCATACAGAAGTATTTCAGGAAGGGCTGACTGTATATGATGACATAATACAGTAGCCTGAGAGGAAGTGATGTATTGGGTGTGACAGGAAATGACCACATGTTGACCTCTATGCCCCTGCAGCCCAGCCCATTGTAGCACTTCCTGGTTTTCACTTCCTGCTTTTATTCTCACTGGAATATTTCTTTGACATGAGCTACGCTTCAATTAATTTATTATCAATGCATCCCACCGTGGCTTCCTACATCCACCAAAAAGGTTGGGTTTTGAGTTTACTCTTAAAAGTATGAACTACCCCCCCTCACTTACTGTGTCTGCTCTTTTTCTCTGGTAGTGGGGGGGGGCTAGAGGCAACATCTGCGTTCTCGCCGGTGATGTACTGGGAGACAAACACCCCCCCGTTTGTCTGTGGCATGGGGGAGATGGGGGTGAAGAGGGGGAACGGCGGCGTGGGGTGCAGCTCCTCTTCTGATAGGTTATCATATTGGGAGGGGTACCGCTCATACAGCACCCTGGAGCCCCCGTCGGGGAAGGGCGACGGGGTGCTGCGGCGCTTCTTCTGGGGGAGGGCGGGGGGAGCACTGAGACGGGACGACAGCGGGGGGTTGGGGTGGTGGGTCTGGGGGGTCCAGTATTCTGGC